GACAAGTGGGTGACCCACTTCAAAATGCCTTCACTCATGCAAACACACAATCCCCAGCGCGCTTTGGGATTTTTGATAGGCGATGGCCTTGTAAGACACTACTCCCTATGCCACCTTGACTACCGTTAGGGTACCAAACACTATGAATGGGGGAGCGACCACCCAAACATCATCTACCCCAACTCCCGTCCTATCATTAGGCGAGCCAGAGAGATCACAAGTAGGCAATGCAATACGCTCAAAGCACGCCAATATATCTCATATCACCTCATGGTCATGCAATACGATCAAAGCATGCCAAGAGATCTCAAAGTAGGACCATGTATTATGCTCAAAGCATGCCAATCATTCACATATCATAGTATGGTCATGCAATACACTCAAAGTAGGTCAATCATTCACATATCATAGTATCGTCATGGAATACGCTCAAAGCATGCCAATCATTCACATATCATAGTATGGTCATGCAATATGCTCAAACCAGGCCAATCATTCATGTATCATAGTATGGCCATGCAATACGCTCAAAACATGCTAACCATTCACATATCATACGTCACATAGCTGACCACACAGGTCTTATCACATAACACTTGTCACAATCATATCACATCACATTATACTACCAATGGATGACCTATTGCATAGTGCTTCTTCTCACATTACTTAACATATCAAATCACATCACACTATCAATGGATGACCCATTGCATAATGCTTCATATATTACTTATCATATCACATTTTCATCATATCATAGTGGGCTTTCATTTCATGACAAAGCACGTATTCATTTCATAACATAACCATTATTCCTTTTATAACAGAGCAGGTGCTCATTTTATAACAGAGCAACATAGCATATTTCAATATTATGCAATCTTATTAGAGCACAATACAACCTTGTAATTCGCTCAAAGCATGTCGATGAATCACATATCACTTAGCTCTGATCACATGGCACTTATCACAATCTTTCTCATTCAACCTTACATAAGTATTCATCATTTCATAAACATTCACTAGTTGATAAGCATTCATCATATCATAAACAATGGCATGTATGATTACAACCATGCACACTTAATGTCACAAGCATTTATCATCTCATAAGCATTCACTAGTTCATAAGCATTCATTATCTCATAAGCATTCACTGGTTGGTTCATCAACATGTCTTATCACAATCCTATTCATTCAATATCACATAAACATTCATCATTTCATAAGCATTCATCATCTCGGCTATGCGTTCATAGAATAGGAAAAACTTTAGTGTGACAGTCTCTCAGACAATGTAGTATAACTTCTAATCCATAGAAAATTTCAATATGGTCTCAAAACCATTTTTGAAGTACATACAACCATATTTCATTTAAAGTTTGAACTCATTTAGACACCATTAGGTCAGTAAACAATTCAGTAGAAAAATATGCAACAGTTCTAGAATTTCATTGCCACTCATAACAGTGACATAAGGACATAATTCCCAAACTATAAAGAATTTCAACATGATTCCAAAACCAAATTTGAAGTAGACACACTCATATTTCATTTAAAACTGACTTGAGTTCATTTGGACACCGTTTGGTCAATGAAACGTTCACATAATAACCTACAAAGTTCTTGGAATTTTATTTCCAAGTTTTGCCATACCTCAAGGGATGAATAATAACTTCCAAACCAAAATAAGCATTAATACATGGTCTTTTTCTTCTTAAAATAGATTCACAATGGTACCTTCCCACCAAGTTTCATAGCCAACATAAATGATTTGAATGTCCAATCTATCATGCCAATAAAATCACTGTCCTAAAAAAAAAAGGCATATCTAACATAAATTTCATTAACATGCAACCACATCATCAATAGCATAAATTAAATAGCATGCAGCCACATCCTCATTCAACAATTATACTTATAGTCATGCTTGTAGTTCATGCAAAACAATCAAACTCACTCATAGAAGCTTGAATGCTAGATTTACTTACCTTGTACCAAAAGAACTCCAAGTTTCCCCCCACACAGGTTTCTCTTCAAAAAAATATCAAGTTCAAGAGATGGTTTCAAGCTTAAGGTCTTGAGGCCTTAAGAGAGGACGTGGGTGAGAGGGCAAGGAGAAGAGAGGGCCAAAAATCCCGTGAAGGGGTGAATAACTAAGAAAAGAAAGGGGCAGCATGCAAACAACAAATGGCATCAAGAGGCATCCACATAGCACACAAGTGGCATCCTCATAGCATTCAAGTGGCATTAAGAGGCATCCACATGGCACACAAGTGGCATCAAGCAATCATGAGAGACTCTCTGTGCTCGGTGGCATGAACTCTCTGTTACGTATGGCGGCATGAACGCGCTCGGCGGCATGAACTCTCTGTTGCGCACAACGGCATGAACGCGTTCGGTGGCATGAACTCTCTGTTGCGCACTGCCGCATGAACACACTCGACGGTATCTGCTGCTTCCGGTTGCGCACGACGGTATGAATGTGCTCGGTGGTGTCTATTGCTTCCGATTGCGTACGGTGGCACTCTCTTTCTTTTGTTTCTCACTGCCGTGCACAGCTCTCACTCTTACTGCCGTGCACGGCTCTCACTCTTACTGCCGTGCACGGCTCTCACTCTTACTGCCGTGCACGGCGGCACACACACTGCCACGCACGGCGGCATATACAAAATGCCGCGCACGATGGCACCTAAACTGCTGCGCACAGTGGTCTAACTCTCTCTGTCGGTGACCCGCCAGTGCACTACAACATGCTTGAAAATCTGGGTCCTTACAGTTATGTTGTATACATGAATGAAATAAAAAAAAAAAGAAATTAATCAAACTTCTTTATGCATAAAAAAAAAAAACAAAATGCTTAAGCAAATTCGAATCCCGCACTGAATTCCTAGCTACTTAAATCTTCAATATCATTGAATCTCTCTCTTGTTCTTTATAAGGACGCTACAAGTTTAAAGAAAAAAAAATCAATGGGTAACTCTTCTTCTCATTCTACCTATTGTTTTGAGACATACGATTGTTTTGATTACTTTTTTTACAGAATATATTGCTTGTATTTTTCTATATGCACATTTTCTAAGGGAACTCATTGGTGAAATTTTTTATAGAATTTTTTATTAAACCAAGATTCTTAATTCACTCCCACTGTTAATCTACTTACCTTTAAACTAAAACTCAGTAATATCATGTTAATGAAAAAATAAAGTTGTAAGGAAGAAGTTTTTTGAAATAAAATAAAATATAATTTTATATTGGTTCCATTAAAAAATGCAATTTTTTTTTTAAGATCTTTTGAAAAACTCATAGTTCTTAACGAGTTTCAAAACATAAGAGATTTTTTGAAAAACTTGTATTTTAAACAGAGACTTGCTAACTATAGTTTAAACATGCCATCGCTAACTTTCAATCTCCAGGAAATGTCAGTTCCACCCATTTCGATGGAATTGACATTTCCTGATAAAAGGCTTAAAATGAGGAAACGACACTACGCGAAATCGTACCTTTTATGTGGAAATAGATCTCGCGGAGACTCATTCCCAGAGAACCAAACATGCCCTTAGTAATATGCATGTGACAAAATAATCAATGTGGAGAGAGAGAATGAGAGATGGAACTTGGAAGGAAATTACCAAAAAAACCAAATTTTTTAACAAACAATCATGCTACCAAATCCATAGAATGAATGTAATTGAGATAAGATGTTGAAAAAAATGAGTGAAAATAATAGATTAAATTCGGAATAAATATATCCGTAAGAATTATGAGGTGACTCTAAGATATTATAAGATTACGAAAAGTCAACTTAGATAGGCTAGCCATGTTCAACATCAGGTTAGAAGAGTACCGATTAGGAGGGCCGAGTTTATTCAAGTATAAAATCCCAAAAGAGCAAGATAATGCCCAAAAGACAGTTGAAAGTAGTACGAAGAGATATGGTGACTTATAATCTGTCTAAGAATATAGCCCTTGATAGAATGAAATTGTATAAAAAAATGTGTTAAACACCCAAATAATTGAAATAACACTACTTCGATGAGGTCGATGATGATGAATCATACTACCATTAAACATCAATCGAAAAATATGCAAAACATCCACAGCCAAAAAGAGGCAGAGGGAAAATTTAGCTGACTAGGAGATAGGGAGGCACGACCTACTCTTGAGAGAGAGAGGTAACATGTAGTAGTAGGCACAAAAGCAAAAGGAAGGAGAGAAGAAAGAGAAGGATAACAAAGAGAAGAAAACAACGAAAGATATCTTGAGGGAGAGAGAGAAGTAAGATGCAGTAGTAGGCACAAAAGCAAAGGAAAGAAAAAGAAAGAGAAGGATAACAAAGAGAAAAGGAAAACAAGAGAGATAAGAGGAGCCCAGGGAAAAAAAAGAAAGAAGCTGTGGATAGAAAAGAAGAGAGGGAGAAGGGGAAAATAAGAAAGAAGAGATGGGAAAGGGAAAAACCAAAGCAAATATGAAAATGGAACTTAGTAGCTAACATAGAAGAAGCAACAGATCAGCCTGTTAATAGAAAAACACCAACCCAAATAAGCATGAGAATGTGAAATACACAACCGTGAACAGGGCGACCACAACTGAAAAGAGGGGAAAGACTGCCAAATTAAACAGAGAGACTGCAAAGGAAAAAATATATATCACGTTTAGGGCCTCAGCCATAGTCTCTTACCTCTGATCCTCACTAAATACTAACTGATGATTACCATTTTTCTTACCAAGCTAAATGATCCAAGAGTTCAACCCATTTGACCTGAATCCCCAAGGGTGGCATATCAAAATTCATATTTCCCATGGCTTTACAAAGTTAAAATAAGACCAGTAGATCTTCCATATGTGTCTTTTCATGATGATAAGGAGCTCAATAAGTCAGACCATGTTCATCTTGGCACAAACTTTTAACTTTCCGTACTCTCCATACAGCTTAGATATAACAAAATAAATGTTTGCATACAAAAACTCACAGGACATCATTTTTAGAAGTAACATACCAATAGAACTAACATACAATTTCAACAAGTAGAGTCAAAATGTTGACACAATTGTTAACACAATCAAATCTAATGGCTGTGTTTTTTAATAAGGTGATCCGCAATTGCCAGTCACAACTATCCGATTAAACTGTACGGGATGCTGCTCATATCCTTTAGAAATAGAAAATTATATCCCACTACTACAATCCCATTCTTTCACAGATTATACAAGAGAGTAGACCCTAAAATACAGTATTCTGAAACAACATACATATTAACAGCACTTTACGGCAAACTTGAACTGCTATTACATTCAAAGAGAGGCCCACCCGTTAATTTTTATGACACAGTAGACACAAAGATACATTTGACCACCTCCAGCATTAGGCAATGCAGAGCTCAAGAGAAGATTTTGCAAGCCAGAGCAATCCAGGATCATTTCTTCTCAACACCAAGTATGGCTCTGCTTTGCCAATTTCATCCAACACAACATCCTCACAGAATCCAATTGCCACAAGAACTTCCATAGCAGCTGAACATCAAAAACAATGATGTCTTACAAACAAGTATTAGACCAAAAGATTATAATTTAATTGCAGGGGAAAGAGAAGGCAACCCACCTTTATATCTCGCAACGGTCTTTTGAAAATGAGGATTAGCCTGGAGTTTGATGTTGGTTAGAAATATAAACATGACTATAAGTATGAACATAGTTTTGATTTTCAATATTAACGAAATGCAATACCTTGCGAAGCCGCTTGAACTTTATCTCATTGGGGTGTTCAATCACATTTCTGCAACAATGAACATGGTTAGACACATGTTAATTAGCAAATCCTACCCCTTTAACTCCTAAAACTGCTTTTGACTTGGTTGCGTTTAGAAAGGCAACCCAAATCATCTGAATCGTCCAACACATGTCGAGATGGGGGTGTAACCTTATCTTCTGTGACTTGCAATCCTTCAGTCTTGAATTCTAAAATTTTCACATCTGTTCATTTTCGCAACTAAAGCCAAATTCTATGTTTTCACTTTTTATGAATACTAATATCAAAGATTAATAATGTAAATACAATTACCCAGATCTTCATATCGTTTTATTATGTTTATTTATTTTTTTTATTCTTCCACGAAAAGTTATTTTATCACCAAAAAAACTTATATAGAGAAGTCACCAACATCAGTCTCGACACATCGACTAAAGTTGTTCTTCCCAGTGCTTGACTTTGGACATATTCGAGTTCTTGAAGATAGTGAATGTCCATGTCACATACCTAACAATCTTGAAAGATGCAAAATAACCAAAAAATAAACATATTTTAAATATCATTTTTTTATATTTTCTAAATTTCTCCAGAATTTACCAAAAGAAGTTAATCTATCCAAAAAAAAAACGTTAACGTGATCTGAAAAGTCACTAACATTAGTCTCCTCAACTCCAATTGTTCTTCCCAGTGCCTGACTTTTGACTTCGCTTTGAGTTATTGAAATTAGTGAATAAGCATGCCACATACCTAACAATCTTGAACAGAGTCAAAATAACTGAAGCAGCCTCGAAGGGAGAAGCTTCGGCCTTCAGCCTCTCAATTGAACTTTGAAGGCGGGTGGTGACAATGGTAACAGAATCTTGAATCCTTCTCAGCTCATCCATGTCCATGCCTTCTGCTTGAAAGGTCTCAGCATTTTCAGAATCATCACGGACTGGTTCATTGGTCCCCACTTTATCGGAATCATCAGGATCTGGTTCATTGGCCCCTGCCATTTCGGTATCATCAGGGTCTGGTTCATTCGTCCCTGCTTTATCGAAATCATCAGGATCTGGTTCACTGGCCATTGCATTTTCAGAATCATCAGGGTCTGGTTCATTGATTACTGCCTTTTCAAAATCATCCGGGTCTGGTTCATTGATTTGTGTTTCTAAATGCTCTTTTGGATCAGGCTTGAAACCCTCAGAGATGTCCTGAGCATCATCTTGATCAGGTTCAATTGCCATGGCTTCACTTACACCAGTGTCATCAGGATCAGGTTCACTGGTTTTTAACTCATTTCCCAAAACCTTGCTGTTTGTTTCATCTGGATCAGGCTCCTCATGGATCTCATCATCATCAGGATCAGGTTCAGACCCATGTTTCAAAATGCCCTTCTTTGTACTGAATTCATCAGGATCAGGTTCTTCTCTTGTCCTATGGTCACACAAATCATCAGGATCAGGTTCTTCTCTTTTCCTATGGTCACACAAATCATCAGGATTGGATTCTTCTCTTCGCCTGTGGTCACACAAATCATCAGGATCAGGATCTTCTCTTTGCCTATGGTCACACAAATCATCAGGATCAGGTTCCTCGCTTATTTTATGGTCACAAAAACCACCAGGATCTGGCAATGATGTGTTCTTATACTTCATGATGCTACTGTTTGGGAAGCAATAGTCATCAGGATCAGGCTCCTCATGGCCAAGGGTCAGTTTTTTACTTTTCACCAAATCCCCATCATCAGGATCAGGCTCTCCCATATTCACAAAACCACTAGAATTCATATTGGAAGAGTCGATCTCCATAGCATCAGCCTGTTTCTTGGGTTCTTCGGAAACATTATCAGAGGAGTTCTTTAATAATCGAATATAGGCAGCAGCCACTGAAGATTCTCGTACATGAATGCCTGGATTAAGATTTCTACCGCCAAGCTTTGGAGCATGATGAACTGTTTCTATCTGGGTTTCCCATTCATAATCATCTTTTGAACTGGTTCCACTCAAGGTATGTCTTTTAGATTTTGTCCAATCTAAAGTGACAGCTTCTTGATTCAGCTGTACACAAGGAATTAAAATATTAAGAGATGGTATTTAATCTAATTATAAATAGATTTCAACCTGAGAAGTCTCCTTGTTACCTGCTTATCAAGGGCATAGAAGTTCGTATCATGTTCAGAGTGTACCATGTGGGCCTAGAAACGTAAAAAAGAGAATAAAATCAGAAGACAAATATACTGACAAGTAGCACTTATGACACCAATTCAAGAAGATTAAAGATAACTATAGGAAGACATGTTCCAGGATCAAGCCTTACAAGCTCATGCAACAAAGTCTTCTTTATGCTCTCATATTTCCTGAATCCCTTAAGGTCATCTGTACGAAGCCGAAGTGAAATTTCCTCTCCATGATTCTGTAAAAAGATGGATTTTAATTCAAATAAAGAATGATAACCAGACCATTAGAATAATCAATCCAGTTCCTGAAGCTAAATTGAAATAGCTTGAGGGAGGTACCTTGTTATATCCAAGAATACACTTAGGACTGACCCCAACATAGCCAACTGGAGCTAACTCTGTCATAATTCCTACCCGCCATTTATGCTAATTAACGACAGAACACTAGTCAGAAAAATAAATATCCAAGACAGACTGTTAATGAAATAAATAGCAGATGACAAACTCAATGGATGAAACAGAATCAGCACCTTGTTCATGATAGCAACAATGCCCGGATCACTAGCAAGCATATGCATTCTTTGTAACGCTTCAGTGGGTAGAGGATTCAACTGAAAGGAATTAACAATACAAATCCAATCATTCTCCATGATTAAATGAATCCATGCAGTAGACGACAAACTGACTATGGTAGTTTCCTTCACTGGATCTGCTACAATACAAACTTTTACATTGTAAAGCCGATGATAGTAGTATTCCTTTTAAATTAAGATCCACAAAACTGTAAATACCTAAACTGTTCCAAATTTAAGAAATATGGTAATACCCAATTAGGCCTAGGGTTACATTTTATACCAAAGAAAACAAGGTATAGTTTTGCCTATAGTCACCCGAATCGTGTATCGAGGTCACGATTCCGGTTTGGAATCACGATTCTGCATGTCCCAAGATGAATCATGATTCTTGGAATATAAAAATCATGATTCCAAATTCCTCGAATCTCATTCCAAAAAACTTTTGGAATCCCGATCCCTAGAAGTTGGGAATGTAGATTCCATCTCACAAGATATGTGATCCATAGGTGCACAAGATTGGGATTCATATTTGAGACCCTGATCCCATTTTTTAGGAATAGTGAATCATTTAGAAGCTAGATCCACAACATCAGAACCCGGGTTCATAGATGCACCAAATAATGTTTTGATCAACATGGAATCGAACTTCTAATAACATGGATTCAAGATTCAAATGCAAATTTCTAGATTTATTGATAGCGATGTCTTTTTGTAGTTAAATGTCCTCAACCAGAATCTTCAACTTGAGCTTTGCGGGTACCAATGGTAAGTACTTAACCACTTCATCACCCTCCTCACGAAATTATAAATTCTTTCTCACTTTTGATAGACCATTATGTGTTGAAAGGGTTTTTCAAGCGATGAAGCACATGGCCCTCTAGCAGCTTGAGGTCCACATCATAGAGACTCATTTTTGTGTGAGAAGATGCACATCTTTCTTTCCACAACAAAAGATGCATGAAAAACACATACAACATATCGGTTTGGTTTCTCACTTCCAATAGACCCCGATGTTCAACGGTTTTTCAATAAAGCATCGAAGCATATGATGCTCTAAGAGCTTGAGGTCCACATGTCAAAGACTCTTTTCTAGTTAGAAGACACAGTTCCTCATTTCGTCCTTGAAATAAGCATGAGAAACACGTACGACATATTGTTTTCTTGGAGTTCTAGAAGCTCCTAGAAAGTAGATACATAAAGACATCAATCCAAATAATATAAGAGCCCTGGATAATCGTACTGAATATATGGAACCCGGAATTCAAGCTTATAAATAATATGAAACTCTATATCTTGTCTCGTTAAAACTTTTGGTATGGTTCCTAGTGGATTGGTGTGTGATTCCTGAATGATAGGAATCTCGACTCCAAATCCATGGAACAGTGATTCAAATAATATAGGAATCAAGATTCCTATTTTATCAGATCGTGATTCTGGATTGTATTAATCACAGTGGATTGATGTGTGACTCCAAAAAAGTAGGAAACTGATTCCAAATTGATGGAATGCCAATTCTATCAAGATAAGACACATGAATCCTATTTTACTAGATCACAAGGCCTTTCCAACAACTATAGTTTTTCCATTCTATTCTCAGAGGTATTCAACAATGACCAAAAAAAATATCACAAAATCAAGAATCTTCAATAGTGAAGAATGGCATTTTCTTGCTGTCAGACAAAATTTGTTGCCTATAGTTTGGGGCATGTGGATATCCACTTATCGATCAAAAGGAAAAACAAGGCACATCGATATCCAGTTCATGCTCTTCTTCATAGCAGTCTGTGCCATTCATATCAAATTACTTTTTTTTCACCCCACTAAGTATGACAAGGGGTTTCAGCCAGTACCCCACCCATTGTATTGTTTGAGAAATGTACAAAAGGGACCATACAACACTGAAATGTATGGGGCTCTCAAGATCTCCCAACATACAAGTCTCCTCACTTCATCACACAGAATTATACACTCAAAGCTCTCAGTGTGAGGGCCATAACACCCATCTATTGTAAATGAGCTCAAGATTATTCCCTTTTTTTCCATTTTGGGTTTTTTTCTTCGTCCTTTTTTGTGTGTATGTGGGTGTGTGGGTGTGGAAGGAGGGGGAGTATGTATATGTCTGGTGTCGCGGTAGGGAGAGAGACCTTCAAAAGTTTGTCAAAGAAGTTGTTACGGAATTTCTTTTGGAACCAGTGTGCTATTAGGCTCTGGGTCTTAAGGCTTGTGTTAAACCTCCACAACATGGTATAAAGGTAATTAACAAAGGTGAAAGATGTGAACAAGTGGTCATACCTCTTCCTTTCTGATTTGAACGAGTAGCATGCATTTTCCATTGGGGGACCCCATCCTTAAAGTCTATCATTTGTGAGCGTCCTCATTTGGTATGCCAACCAAGTAAACCAGGAAACATTAGGGTGGATCAAGCTTTTCTATATTGCTTTTAGGACATCATTGCTGCTCCTGTGTTCGTCAATCACCTCATAGACACTTTCGAGGGAGAAGCATCCATATTAAGAGGGAAACTGGCTGATATCTTTCATCCCATTATTGTACTCTACTCAATGGAGTGCTTTTTTATGTTTGATATCCTGCAATGTATGCCTTTTCCCATGAATCTCTCCTTATGTCCTAGAATCCCACAATTGGCATCTCCTAATGTAACTCTTACTAATTAGTGTCACACACAATATCTTCTCAGCTCACCAGCTTCCATCCCTACATGACAAACAGGCCCGGTTGATTTCCTTGATTCTTTTGATACCAAGCCCACCTTCATGCTTCAGTTTACAAATGAGTTCCAATTGACAAGGCTTGGATGTTTTTGGTTAAGTTGGTTGCCCCAATGGAAGTCCCTTTGGAGTTTTTTGAGAGCATTGGTTGTGATGGAGGGGCATTTGTATATAGAACACCAGTGATGTACAATTAGGTTGAGGTGTGATTTTATGAGGGCTTGTCTTCCTTGGTGTTGAAGGGTTTCAATTTTTCATCCTTTGTGCCCAGGCATAAATTTGTCTATAAAGTTTTCGCAAAGTCAGAAGGTGAGTTTCCCTTCGAATAGTTGTAAACCAAGGTAAGTTGGGGGTAGCTCCAAGCATTGCAGTTCCAAAAGGGTGGTTTTAAGGGACTGGTAGGTTCATGGGTTACTTTTGCCAAAAGCAAGAAGGTCACCTGCATAGACTGAGTGGAAGGGGTGGATGTGACCCTCGGAATCTTAGGTGGTAGAAATTTCCCCCCTCTGCCTCCTTGCCAATGATCTTGCTAAAGCCTTCTATGGCTAGAACAAAGAGATAAGGGAGAGCAAGTCGCTCTGTCTTAACCCATTTTCTTCTTTAAAGTAACCAAAGGGTGGTCTCATTTAGGATAATGGAATACCTAGGGTAAGAGTTGAACAATTTCATCCAATTCATAAAGGTTTCCCTTTAACCATATATTTTAAGTTCACATAAGAGGAAGTCCTCATTATCCTTGTCAAAAGCCTTATGATTGTAAGGCAGAAGGGGCTTTTTCTACTGTTAGTGATACCATGGATGAGTTCATGGGCAATTACAGCTTGCATAAAGATGTGCCGCCCTTAAAGGAAAGTTCTTTGGTTTGATCTGAGGGGAAAAAAAAGATTCAAGTCAGATAACTACTGACATAAACATTACAAGGGAAAATTTCCATCGTATCATGCAAGTGATCGGCAATTTTCATAGAAATGTACATAGTTTATTTACTGGAATAAACTGCATAGGGAAAAGCCCATGCAGCTATTCAGTCAACTTAATTCCTATGATAACAGAACCCATGAAAATGGCGAGGACACAAATTGCCCAACCTATCATTGAGGAGAAGAAAAAGATAAAGAATCATATTTACCATGTCCAACCCAAAATGGTCTAGCCCTTACTATTCCAATGATAATGAGGAAGGCAAGCAATCTTGGTTGCATTATTTTATTTCTTTGTTCTCATTGAAAGTAGTATCTTTCTGGCTATTAAAGCAATATGCCTTATCCATAAGGAAATCTTTTGGCTCTGCTTGGAATCACATGTTTTCTTAAGTATCTGAATATCCGTAAGGGGTCTTAACTGTAATATATTATGGCTATCTTTACAAAGTAGGCTACTATTCTTTCGATTGATTTTCTAGAAAGATTAAGCAATACACAAACCTGAATTCCTGGAATGCTGAGTGTGCGAAAATCACAAAAGATATAAGGTCCTTGTGGAAGTCTCAATGAAGATTGGGGCCTCCCAAATGTGCGTTGCCTTAATCTCTTTTCCTCTTCATCAAATCCAGCGATCCTTAGATCTGGTTTAGAACTATCATGGGAAACCTCTTCAATTTCATCTGAAAACACTCCCATCATCCGAATAGATTTCCCCTGCCGTAACAAAATAATACAAGAATAAACACAAAGAATGGTTCCATTAATCACCTGCCTACCTACTTCCCAATTGAGTACGCATAGAATGTTGTATTAATGAAATTACACATATACCCATTTCCTTGATGAGGGAAAAGGAATTACATAAACATATAAATGGAAACAATGTTCTACGTACAACAATTATCTTTGACAACATAATCAGCAGTAAACAATCAAATATTCCACAAATCCATTGAGACCACATAAATTAAACAACTTTATCCAACTTTGTAATAAACTCACAAATAAGTCAGTCAGTGCCACTTAAGTTAAATTGCCAAGAAATGTCTAAAACTATTAGATGCTTGAAACATAAGGCAAATCTACGAGTGATGGACAAATCTACTAAGGAACAATGTAAATACTACTCTAATTTCAAACACTGCAAATAATTTGCACCACAGAATATACATGTTATGTAACTTTCAAAGAGGAAAAAAGAAATACTCAGAGTAAATGAAAAAGAAGTAAACATTATCGAAGGCCCAAGCGATCTGACTACTTTCTTTGAGCGTCCAGACTTTATTACAACTTTTCAGTATTTAAGCTAAACCAAAAACATCAAATTGAAAGGAAGCATTTAGAGCAAAAATTTAAGATAAATTCCTCAGCAGATATTTGTTTCCTCAAAACATAAGTCTCTTCTTGGAGTTTAAAGCCATGGAAGCCAATGATTCTGGGAGGATTGGATAGTTTGGAATTTGGTAGCGTGAGAACAAAAAGATGTGTGAACACAAGAGCTTATTTATTAGAAAGTTGTTCCTTAAACTACAGATATGTGAGTAAATATGCTTACATGTACAAATGGCCACAACAAAGAGCTAAACCACCCCTCATTACAAAAATAATCTTTTAATGTGATAAATGGAAATAGAACTAGATATCTCTTAATAGCCCTGATGTAGATCAAGAATGGGTTGATTCAAAAATTTATTATTGTTTTTATTTTTATTTTATTTTAGTTTTAGAGTTATGGGTGCATTTTTATTTTTATGTTATTAGGGTCAATGGTTAGAAATAGGATTTTTAGGTTAGTTTGATAAAGTATGTTAACAAGTTTAAAATAAAAAAATAAAAAAAAAGATAACAAGAGTCAATGTTTTTTAGGAAATGTGAGTCTGTTTTAAAAAGTTGTTTGAAAGGGTCGGAAGTTACATTTTTTAGAAAGCTTTTCTCTATCACAGTACAGATTGAGGTTGTTCTCCCACTCCCTACCATCTGGATCTTCCTCTAGGATTTCCTTGAAAAAATATGTCAAATCATTATCTTAAAATCATTAATAGTTTGATTCCGATAAGAGTAATCCCTTTTAAGGATTATTCTAGCGTATGATAGCACTTCCATTTCCATAAAAGGACAACTTAGATAATGAATACTTGGGAGTAGATTACGTAGGTGCTAAGGGAGATCCTATTATGATGGTGGGCTTGTTACTATTTTTACAGGATACAATGATTTCCTAGTTTTATGGGATTTTGTAGAGAATATGTTACCAAAGAGAGAGAGAGAATATTTCCTAGATGATGGATATAGAAGGAGAGAAAGTAGGTGTTTAAAGATGGAAAGGAGGGAGTCACGTGAAGTTCAAAAAAATATAGAGAAAATTACAAAAACTCCCAAGACTACACTTTCTATGCAACTTACCCCCAACCTAACTTTTTCCCTCACTTTTTTCCCCAAAATACATTTTCTATGCATATACCCCTCCAATTAAAAAATAAAAAAATAAATGCCTAAAGTACCCTCCCTTACTTTTACCTTACCCACGCCTCTCTCTCCTCTATCCCACCAAAATAAGGCTCTGACACTATGTAAGTGCGGTCCGACAGTGGATCAAGCGCTCCGGCACTGTGTAAGTACGGTCTGGCAGTGAAACACTCTAGAGTTACAGGGCTCTGGCACTATGCAATTGTGGTCCGGCCGTGGAATACTTTGTAAGCACAACACTCCGACACTGTGTAAGTGCGGTCCGGCATAAATGTTCTGAAGTCACAAGGCTCCGGCAGTTGCAAAGGGCGGACCAACAGTAGAACTTCTGGAGTCACTGGGCTCCGACAATTGCAAAGGGCGGTCCAACAGTACTTAGTTTCGGTCTGGTAGGCGTCTTAGGGCGGTCCGGCAAAAGTTTCTGGAATATTGGATCCGGCAATGCGATGGCACGCTCCGGCAATGTGCAACCGGGGTCCAAGAGTCAACGTCAAATATGGCCAAATTGATTTTTATGTACAAAAAGAGCATTTCCATCTAAAAAAATGAACTTTTTCCCTTGGGGGGGGGGTATTTGCATAGAAAGTTTGTTTTGGATAAAAAAAGGGAGAGAAAAAGTTAAGTTGGGGTAAGTTGCATAGAAAGTGTAGTCTTGAAGGTTTTTTGTAATTTTCCCAAAAATATATACATCGGGAGATTTTGTTGGTGCGTAATTTTGAGAGAGAGGATATTCTTTTTATTTTATTTTTATTTTATTCTTGATGGCTTGTATTAAAAGGGGGCTCATGCCCATGAGAAACATTATGTTAGAGTGTAATTATTTTATGAAAAGAAATTAGAGCTTCCACTTCTCTTATTTTACTTGTTGATTTGATTTTCGCTGCATCAAGCCCCTTCATAGAAAAAACTGAAAAGTTTGTTTCCTTAATAATTGTGTCTACGGTCAAGGATTTAGTGAAAAAGTCAGTTTTTTACTCAGTATAGGTAACATAGAGGCAAACTGATGATCCCTGCATGCATTCCCTATGATAAATCACCTTCTACATCAGAATGCTTGAACCTGTCAAGAAATACTGAATTGAACAAACTTTGTGGAGCACTATATCTTCATGGAAAGGTAAGCATTCCTATCTCAACACCAGAATTACGCAAACAAGCTCTAAGGCAAACTGTTTCATCTCAAGTAATGAACAGATTATAATCATCTTTAGCATTTAACAAGGATACAGCACCATGCTTCTTGTCGCACCATGGATTAAAGGAAGACTAAAGAAGATGCTATAGTCAGTAGTAGATTGACTATTCCCTTGAAAACCGGCTCATTCAAATTCGGCGTATGCATTAGTTGGAAATCAGATAAGATAGCATAGGCAAAACATTAATGTTTTTAGACACAGTACACTGAATATTCCAAAGCATGACAGCGAGAGGCGATCTCATAGGGGACAGTACAAAGCCACCGAAAAACTAACAGATGCAAAGTCAGGTAAGGTTCAACGTCTGAAATAAGAAGTCTACCAGCTCCACAATCAAATACCTGGCATCAAGTTCAAGTGGAACTCCAGTGGTCGTAGAGTTTGAAAAACGATCTCGAGATATGATGTCTATAAATACTTGTGTTGAATAGTTAATGTGACTCTCTAGAAAGCAAGATAAATGCCCCATATGTTTCAAAAAAAAAAAGTGTTTGAAGTATTTTACTTTTAATATGAGAAATAATGGTAAGGCCATTCCAGTTAATCATTACGCTATGTACATAGATCAGAGAACAAGAATCTGATTTTTGGAATGCTTCACATAAAAAGAAGTCAACCTCTACGACCACACTTCAATAGGCGATAAGATGAGGAAAATTAGACTTAGGTGGGCTGGTCATGTGCATTGTTGACCTAATACAACACAGGTTAGAAGGTGTGTGCGATTTGGTTCAAGTGGAAGACTCTAAAAGGGCAAGGGAAAGGCTCAAAAAGACATGAATAGAAGTAATGAGAAAAGATATGGTGACTTTTGGTCTTACTAAGGGTATGACCCTTGATATAGAAGAATGGAGGAACATGATCACCTTGGGAATTGTTTGAAACTATATGTAGCCTTCTTTTACTGGTAAAGAGGACTCTGACATATAACTAGGGCTTGCCAATGGATCCTTAGACATATGAATGCATTTTTATGCTCAAATGGTATCCCATCATCGTTCCATAGCTACTAGTAACAATACCTGAGCAATTGAAAGTTTGGAAATATGAATAAATGTTTCCTATTAATCAATCCGATATTTCAATGCAGACCCTCCATAACCAGTTTTGCATTATATCTATAAAGGATCACAAGCTAGTATAGTAATGTACAGTTCTAATGGATGGGAACATATGGGAATTTCTATGTAAAAAAAAAAAAAGTCTCCAGTATTAGTTTGCTCAAGTGCATGGAACTCTCTACAAATTGCTCTTGCTAATGAGCACCATTAATAGCTTTTTCATACCTAGTACAATCCTAAATTAGTATTTAGATCAAGTGTAAATGAAAGCAAAGGTCAGCAATCTTGTTCTGAGCCTCAAAGACTGGACAAACCTGAGGAAACCATCATAGGCCTCATTGCCCCCAAATACAACAACCATAGGATTCTGAATGCAAAAGATCCCAAACTCACTATAAGTCTATGATCACGGAGGTTGACCAAGTAAGAATGACCATGCCATTTGACAAGTTGACTGGCCACACGACTGAATCAATAAAGATTAAACAAGTTGTGGGCCAACTTGCCAAGCTAGTTCCATGCATGCAAGAAATGCCCTATTACAAGTTTCAAGAATCTGTGGTGATAAGATCCAAAGTATTATGAATAAGATACAAGATTACTTTCATAGCTTCCCAAAATTAATCACAAATGAAACAACTTCATATCCTCGTCATTCCTTGGGAACACAGAGAATCAATGAAAGCAATGAAATTACATAAAACAGTGCTTGACATAGTAAACGCATAAGACCTTGTTTGCGAGTGGAGAAAAATGAGTTGGCTCCACTAGTTGCAATTTGATGTACACTCATTGAAGTTTGGCCAATGATATGTTCTCACTTAGAAAGCCAAATAAATGAAAGAAATCCACACAAGAGAGACAATGTCAGGGTAAAAAGGTCGAGCACCTGCTGAGAACTATATATGGATAGGCAGTAAAGATGCAATAAGATGATGCAATGTAGAGAAGGTTGTTCACGTAGATGAGTACATGGTTAAAAAACAAAACATTATTCATAGATAGATGGATAGATAAGAGGGAAAATTACAAAAAAAACCTCAAAATACACTATCTATACAACTTACCCCCATCCAAACCTTTTCTCTCACTTTTTTCCCCACAATAAACTTTCTATGCAAAAACCCCCCCAAAGCAAAAAGTTCTTTTTTTGAGACGGAAATGCCCTTCCCATACATAAAAATCAATTTGGCGAGATTTGACGTCTCACAAGTTCTACTGCCGTAGCACCCTTTGCCACTGTCAAAGCACTACTACCGGAGCGCCCTTTGCTACTTCCGGAGTGTTGTGTCTCACCAGTTCTACTGCCGGAGTGCCCTTTGCAACTGCCGAAGCTCTACTACCGAAACGCCCTTTCCTATTGCCAAAGCGCCCTTTGCTACTACGGGAGTGCTATGTCCCACAAGTTCTATTGTCGGCGCCCTTTGCAACTGCCGGAGCACTACAACCGGAGCGCCGTTTGCTACTACCGGAGCATTGTGTCTCACAGGTTCTACTGCCGAAGAGAGAGGCATGTGGAATAGTGGTAAGGGTAGTTTAGTCTTTTTTTTATGTTTTTTGGGTTGGGAGGGTTATTTGCATAGCAAGTTTGTTGTAGGGAAAAAACTGAGAGAAAAGGTTAGGTTGGGGGTAAGTTGTATAAATAGTGCAGTCTTGGGGGTTTTTTGTAATTTTCCCTAGATACTAGGGTTTAGCTTTACACCCTGGATACAGCTCCATAAAGACCTGGCCACTCCATCACCACGAAGATGGAATACTAAATGATTGTGTAGAAGAGAAAAAGTTAATGAGAGAGGCATTAGTCCGTGCCAACATAATATGAAGTCCCTATGGTTGTACCACTAGCGACCAGAATGAGAGAGAACAGATACGAGGGACTAACTTAATCCAAAGGACTAGAAGCCATTTCATACAAGCAACAAGCTTGGACATGAAAAAAACAAGAAGGTGGGCCACAACATCCATACATGATCAGCTTAGATGGTACCTGAGATGTCCTGTGTAAACTGAAGTAAAAACACTTTTCTTACAACAAATATGCTACAAAAACGTGCATTTAGAGAAAGTACAGGACAACCACAAATCAAATGCGGACCATCAAGCCTTCCAAGGTTAAATCCCATCTAGAATTGGTGAGACCAATAGATAACGATCATTATGACAAAGGGAAGCCACAATAGACAGTAATGAAGACAGTTAAGAAACATCCTTGCAATATTCAGAAAACATGCATAAAGATGACTCCACATTTGAGCTCCCGGTTTTGTACCCAAATAACAATCTAATTGCTAAAACAGCTGGAAAAAAACAATAAGGAAAGAGCTTGATAAATATAAAACCATCATACAACACATTACATTCTACAAACAAATAATTGCAACTTAAACAAGCTATATGCAATTGAAAAGAACTCAATAACTCCTATAATAGCATGATTAAATATGAAAGAAATAAGGCAAAGACAAGAAGTAGAGTTGTTCATCATGTTTACTAGAAGAAAATGGATATATTATCACTGAATCACAAATAAGGTCTTTACCTTGAGAACAGCAGTTTCTTGCAAGCTTAATTTTGAGTGCTCATGTGAGAATGGTAAAAGTAATTTGGAGCTATTATTTGTAGAGCGTGGAACAAGTAACCGCATTGTTTCAGGTTTCACATTCGTCACTATCTGCAGCTTCTGACCAAGCTCTTCAACAGTAGAGCCTGAATTAATCTCTACGGTGATTTGCTTTCCCCTCCAAATAACAGTGACACTCATTATATCCTCTTCCTCCATAATGTTACTGAGAAAACTGAAAATAAAGCTCAGTATACACCGTGAAGATGTTGAATAACTGTCTTCCTGCAAGGGTATTAGAATAAGCAACAGGAATAATCAAACTAATATCCATGGCTAGAATATATCAATTCACGATCCTAGGTAGAAAGAAAGTATATGGTTCCTCAATGAAGCAAAAATAAACTTTGCAACAGAAATAACATTTAAAAATACCTCAACCATATGTTCATAAATTTTCCTTGTGCCAAAAAGAAATAATACTTTTAATACTAAAATTACTCGTTTACAAAATAGTATCAAAGAAACAGGCAAAAAGAATAGAATCATCAAACAATTCATTAAATCAAGTGCATATGTCAGCAAAACAAAAACAGCTACAACTTGCATATAAGAGTAAACTTCTCATAACAAATTTACTTTATGCCTTCACTCTTTGAATTAAGAAAATAGATGAGTCCTTGTTACACATGAAGATTTTACATGAGAACGAATGATCATTCTAGATGACTAAATACCCTCAACAATATGACATCTCACAAAAATGTAGAACAGATCACTCTTTTGAAAAGAGCATTGACTTATAGCATTTGCTAAATGCTAAGCTAGAGATCTAAAATCATTTCCTCAACAAAAACAGTTCAGGAATCTCTCCTCTAAAAGAGGCTTCTCACCACAAGTGAAAACCCAAATTCAATTTCACATGAATTGATTGATTTGGTCAATGGATAGTGTATCAATTTGTAGTGGTTACCAAATCCTAATCTACCCATATCTGAACTCTAGATCAGTCAGAAGATAAAATCTATGGGTTCTGATCCATATATTAGAAATTCGTGGGTTCTGATCAAAGAATTTTTTTTTTTTATTTGTGAATTTTCTAATCAGAGAATTAAATATTAGAAAATTTAACACCAAAAAAAATAAATTCATCACTGATTTTCCCAGCAAGTATTCAACAATAATTTGAAGCCCAAACTCTGGATTATTCTTTTTTTGGGGGGAGTGCCCTAATGTCTAGATTCTGAAACAACCATAGAGATAAGGGTGCATATCTTTGAAGATATCTTCAATTCAAGCTTTGGATCACCCCAAATACACATTTGGGTTAAAAATTACATCATTTCAAAGCTGATTCTGTCATTCAGAGCATTGTTGGAAAAACCGGGCGATCTAACAGCCAACCGCCCGATTAGATCAAAACAGGCAACTGGCCAGTTCCGGTTTTGGGTGGTTTTGGTGATCGACCGGTATTTAAAAAAAAATTCAAAAAAAATGTATATAAATTTCGAAAAATAAGGAATTTGGTTTTTAATGCATTTTTTAATATTCTTTACATTATGGTAAAGCTTAAAAATTGTTTTGGTTATTAATACTCACTCTAATTCAAAAAATCGATTCGTTAAAATCCATTTTTTCATTAATTTTCAACTTCATTTGAATGTGTTTTGTTTTAATCATTCTTTATATGCTTTTCATATTTTAGTAGATTTTTTTTTTGTATTTTTTTATCTTTTTCAATACTTTATTAACTGCCCATGACTTGTCCGGTTATAATGGTTGAATCGGCCGGTTTAACAGTTAGGCTGGTTAAACCGCTTTTGGGCCCATGTCCGATTAACCATTCCGGTTCAATTTTGCGAACACTGATTCAGAGCCACTACTGAAGAAAGAGGTAGAACATACCTCAAGTCCCATAAGGATGGGTGGGCTCAATTTGGGTTTCATAATCACTAATTCATGAAGTGACATGAGGAGAGGAATACCAAGAACCTATTGGTGAATTGTTCCTTAGGTACGATATGTCCAAGATCCATTGATGCTTCTAAAGATGTTCATAGTGCACATTATATATTCTCTTTTATTGATAAGGGCCTTGTCGAGTTTGGGGAGGAGCATTTAATTCAAGTTGTCACAGATAATGTTGCCCTTAATATAGTTGCAGCTCATTTGCTTTGCCAAAAGAGGCCTCCTATATTTCAGACACCTTGAGTTGTTTATTGCAAAGACCTTATGCTTGACGTTATTAGCGACATGCCTATTGTTAAAGGCACAACTTTTAAGGCAAGGAAGGCCACAATTTCATATATAACCAGACCATTACCCTTAGTATAATGCCTAAGTTCACAAAAAAGAAGGAGGAGCTAGTAAGGGCTAGGGTCACCAGATTTACTACTGCTTACATAAGTCTTAAGAGCATAAATAATAGGAAGATCCACTTCGGAGGACTGGAGCAGGTGTAAGTAGTCTAGAGCTCCCAAAGGAAACAGGGACCATGATATTTTTCTTCCTAAAGTTTTTTAGCATGGGGTAAAGTACTCGCTAGAGGTATTTCTATCTTGGTCAAGATCTTGCACTTGGCTAATGGTGACAAGCCCTCTATGGGCTATATACAATGCATTAGATGGAATCATGGAACTAAGAATGAGATAGAAGAGATTTTGTTAATGATGAGACCAAGTATAACCCAATTTGGAGATTATTGATGAAAATTGGGATAGGCAGCTTCAGAGACCATTGCATGCAGGTGAGTACTATTTGAACCCGAAGTTTTTTTATGCTGACCTAGATATTGAGAGGAAAGATACAAGCGTGGGTGGAGTTAATGAGTACCTTGAGAGGCTTGTTCCTGTGCTAGAAATCTTAGTTAAGATATCTACTGAGGCACTCATTTGAATAAGTGTGCATTGAGGTCATTCAGGTTAGAAATGGCGGTGATTCAAAGGACCAAATCAGATCCAAGTAATATACTTTGTTTGAAAATGTTCTTTCAAGTTTCTAATGACTAATATTTAATATTAAATTCACTAAAATCCTTTATGATAATGTTAAATGAATTAAAGATAACACCCAAATTGCAGCCCAATGGTGGAGCCAGCATGGGAGTAATGCTCTAACCCTCCAGAAGATGGTTGTTCAAGCATGAAGTTTAACAACTAGGTCTTCTGTTTATGAGCTGAATTGGAGTTGTTTTAAGATGGTATGTTTAATTGAGGTTCATTTCTATTATAGCCGATATAGACATTTAATACCAATTTAAGTATGTCTTTATGATTATACTTTAGTCCTCCTTTAGTCCAAATTTAAAACTCTAGTTGGGTCAAGTAATGATGCTAGTAGTACTCATGCATTTTTTCTTATAGGTGCACAGAGAGAGAAGAAATAAGCTTCAGTAAAGAAAGCTCAATGATTTGGGAATCAGAGGCTTAGGGAAAAGTTTGATCAGCAGAAGAAGGATCTAATCGCCTCTAAGGACAATGAGAATGCTAATGAATGGTTGGTTGGAGACCCTGGCAATGAAGTTGTCATCCTTGGTGAGAGTTTGACTTGGGATACGGTTGAGGAAGCTTCAAGTATAGATTCTGATCTTAGGAGGGCCACTTGAGCATCAATGGTTGCCGGTACTTCACACAAGGGTGAGGAAGATAGGAGAGAATTAGGCAGATTCAAAATAAACTGAGGAAGATGGGCAATATTTTTAAGAGGGTAATGATTCTGCTGATGATGGCCTTGATTCAGATGGAGGTGCAAGCGATGATGAAGACTTTGACAGACGATGCTTGAATAATTGACGATCTCCTTGCTTCTTTTGTATTTTAACTTATCTTTTATACTGCATCACCTTGTATTGGCTTTGTACTGTTTTTGGAGACTTGGAGTCCATGTGATTATGCCTATCTGTTGTGTAACTGTGTATCATGATTGTAAGCCACTATAGTATGGATTGGCAAGTTGGAGACCATACACTATGGACCTGAATATGTTTTTCACTAAATTTTCAATGATTTGAAATTTTGAACATGTTTCAACATTTATGCGTATATATTTGCATGAAAACGTTAGTTAGCATACATATAAATGCTAAGAAATACAAATTAACACAAAAAACTGCATGTATGTACGCTTGGACAGCACATATATGCATGCTTCTGAAATGTTTCACCTCAGTGCGCCTGAGGTTCTAGGTACCAGGCCGGCTGCTTAGCATTTTTTGAAACATTGAAACCAACTCTATAGGTCTGAAGAGACCCACCCAAACTTTTGGAAGTGGGAGGAGAATGAACAATGCTCTTTTTGCAATCCATCAAGATGGGTTGTTGAGTGTCCGCATGCAAGTTATTTTCTCAAGAAATGCATTGAGGACTCAATGCTTAGCATTCCTCTCATCCTCAATAGCAACAAAAGCTCTCTGGATGAGAATAATGGGTTTGACCCATTTGGATTAACATGACCGAACTCAAAGCATCCCATTTTGTTTGACACGGCAGGTTCAAAGCAAGCTCCCATGGATCAACTTGCTCTAATACCAAAACTGATATAGAAACAAGGATGCTGGGCTCCTTGGTTAATCCAATCAGTTCATCGATGGTCAGCAAGGATGATGGTTCTAATGATGACCGTGCACGTATTTCATGTTTATCTCACATGCGGATTTAAGAAACCTCACAAATTAACTTGGGTTACGGCTGGCTTTATTGACTGCATCTTTTGGTGTAACTGGCTATTCCTTATCTCGGGACCAAATTGGTTATTGGGCAGTCAAAATCATGACCGGCGTGCCTGAGGCTATCCCTATAATAGGATCGCCCTTGGTAGAGTTATTATTAATGAGTGTAGACGAGATGGGCATAGAAAAAATGGTTTTAGGTGCAATTAGAAATTCTAAATGAGTAAGGGTTCAGGAGCTCTAAAGGGTTTAGGTTCATACAAAGATTAGAACAGCAGGATTTTGGGCCTTTGAAAATTTTCCTAATTGGGGTATAAATGGACAATACAAGTCTAAATGAAGTATAATTAGGGTGAGGGTTAGGGCGAAGGATTTTCAGGTTTCTAAAGGGGTCAAAGCTTGCCGCAATTTAGCAGGTCCAGCAAGGTAAGAGAGTAAAGCAAGGTTGAATTAGGGCAAATCTAGTAAGGAAAATCCAGGGCTTGAGCTTTTAGTCTGGGGTTTATGAAAGGGTTGGAATGGGTGCAGAATTTGGTTATGGGGACTCTAAGGTTGGAAGCATACAAGAAGAAAAGAAGAAGGTTCAAACTTGTTAAGAAGACTGAACCATCTTAAGCTAGAGGTGTAAAATCACTCTATCACCAAAAGGAGTTGAAGATTTCTCTCCTCTATAGGTGATTTCTCATCAAAACTGAAAACCTAAATTTTTATTTTTCAAAAATTGATTGATTTGGCTCAGGCATGAACGTGTATTTTTAGGTCTTCCCTAATCCAACCTACCCATCCTAGAACTCTAAATCAATCAAGAAAGCATCCTAATCAAATTAGAAGATAATTTTAAGGGTTGTAAGCCATATAGTAAAGAACGTCAGTTCCTAGAGACAGTATATCTCAATACATTACAACTAGGAAATTATTAAATATTAGAAACCTTAACACTAAGTAATAGTCAAACTATTTTTTCCAACAAGCTTTCAACTTTGAAGCCCAAAACATATAAATTACAAGAAAATCATAGAGATGAAGGTAAGAGATCGTTGAAGATATCTTCAATTTAAGCATTTGATCAGCCTAAATGGACATCTAGGCGAAATTTTAAATCCTCTAAAGGTGATTGCATCAAGCTGGACACTGACCCAAGCACAATTTAGTACAATACCTGTGACTTCAAAAATATTCATTGAAAAAAAATATTCATGTGCCACAAAAGCTCCTCTGCAGATTAAGAGCAAGAGTTAGAAAGCCACATAACTAAAACTTTCGTGCAGCCCAAATTTATTTGTCCTTTTTTTTTCCTTCCTTTTTTGAACATTACATGCCATCAGGCAAGAAGCTGTTAAAATTCCAAAGGAACACACAAAAGGAGACATATATGGTAGTGTGGGGGAGAGGAGAAAGAAATAAGAGTGTGTTTGATAACACCAGATTTTGGAAGTGGGAGTGGATCGTCCCACTTCCACGTTTGAGATCAGGAACATTTTGGAAGGGTGGCATTCCACGCCCTTCCACGATCCTTTTTTTTTAACATTAACTTGCGCTTGGCAGCCTGTTTTGGAAGGGCTGTCTCCCATGAAAATGGGAGACTTCCTCCCTGTCCAATAATTCGCCGGCATCAAACACGCCCTAAGACAACAGGAAAAACCAATAGGATATTTTGATAATATTTGGAACGTCAATTGTTTGTCTGAATTGAGATAGTGAAGAAAAACTCTAATTGACTCCCTTAATGACTTCCTTTCTATTTAACGAACATATATTTCCCTTGAAAAGTGGAAGAGAAAATGCAGGAAATAGCCCACATGAATCCTTCATAAAAGCATCATATTACTAACTGAGAAGGAGACCATAAGCTGATATAGGTCTTCAAAAAAAAAATAAACCATTAGCAAGTCTACCTCATGTCTTCAGCAATCAAGTAACTGAACATGATGATCTCAATTTCCTTTATGTAAGCATTCCGCAGCAAGTTGTTTACAATTTTCTAACTTTTATAAATTTAATATCAGCTAATTCCCAATATTCTCTCTTCAGCAACAAGCCTACTCATTCTCATATGTAGGATAATGTTAAGAAGTTGCAAGTTTTATGAAACCAGTTGAGTTCCTCTCTTCAGTAACTACATGGGCTTTGTATAGATGGTTCATAACTAATCCCCGTGCAGCAAGATAATACATCCAGCTTTGAGATTCCTACCACCATTAACCCAATTGCTATAGAACTTTTCCAATAGGAACATAGCTCCTGAAATGGAAACTTAGTGGGAAACATTTAATCTTCTTTGGGATCAATCTTGCTATAGCACCATCTCTAATATACTTGATGAGGCTAAGACTTAGTGCATATTAATTCTATAGATTTCACCATTCTAGAAGTGATCTCCAATTCTCCACAAGAGGTAAAAATTATAATATGGGCCAAAACTGTAATGGGATGAATTTCAAACATCAAAACAAGCTAACATAAGTAACAAACAAATTCTCAAAAAAAAAAAATGTCAACAATTTCTAGGGAAGAATATAATAACCAGGAAAAAGGAAAACTGCAACTATCTTAAATTTTAAATGAAGGATATCAACCTAGAAACTTGTCTCAATACAAATACCCACTGCACAATCCTAGGCCATAGTGAAAGTAAATCATCAGAAAACATACAATTGGGCTACAAGCAGGGGACCCATACAATTAAACTCCTGCATTTGAAGCCAATTTGATAGCATCCAAGCTATATACAGTCAACCCAACAAAGATAAATACAAATTACAAAATTCATTTGTCCTCAAAACAATTAAAGTCAAAAAACCAGAAAAGTAAAAGAATTACTATCATATTCTTCAATAGAAATAACCTGAAATAAATGAGATGTAATTTAAGACATATAATATTAGAATAAAAATTTCCAAAATAAATATAACCAAACAACGAGTAAATGATGAAAACGTGAAACAAATTAAAGAAAAACAAACCAGATTTAGAGGCCACAATTACCAAATAATTTATATAAATTAACATAGCAAAAACTTCCAGAGAAATAAGAACCGGAAGAACAAGAATACCTCAGAGAATAGAACCCTGCGTTGCAAACCTTCAAAAAAAAGCCTAGTAGGACAGGAATGACCGCCTCTATTTATAGACATACGCAAGACCATGATACCCCAAACTTCTAATAAATTGCCGGAAGAGTCCCAAGAATTATTTAATATCTCTATGACCATTATGCCCTTGCATAAGACTAGATCGGTTGTCTTCCACTCCGGTGACAATTACATCTTGGGAAAAGTTTATTTAGATCCTAGACATCTAAACTATCAAATTAGAAGGTGCCTCAAAACTTTCACTATAAGAGGTTGTTTTGGTCCCAAAATATCATCAAATTGACATCAGGATGCATGAAAATGAGAAAAAAATGGATTTCAAGTTTTAAAAATAGTGCATCTTGTAATGTATTTTTGGACCTTCAATTTTTAAGATTTTCAAGTTTTCATAGATCTGCTCGTTCTACCCTATTTTTTAAACTTTAAATTTTATAACTAAAGATAAAACTATAATTTAAGGCTATCACAAAACTTTTCAGTGTTGAAACCACATTCCTCGACACTACTTGAAAGTAGGCTCTAATTTGATTGTTTAGAGCCTCGGCTCTATACAGTTCAATTTTTACTGAAATTATTTGAAAAATAATACTAATAATAATAATAAATTGTCTTGTTAGTCAAGATCATTAAAAATGTCGACACAACAATTGTTGGACGAAATAATTATAAAGTTGATAAGACCTCTACCACATTTAATTTGTGACTTTTTGAGGTATTGTGTACATTTAATTTGACTTTTTGAGGTATTGTGTGTAACTTGTTTCGAAAAGTTGTATTTTCAAAAGGGCAAGCTTTCTATGCTTCCCCTACAACATAAAACTTATATACCTCCCCTTATCTAACCGTCCATTCTGAATGGAGGGCTAAGATTGTCTTAATCACAGTGTCACAACTCTACACTATTTTATTTTTAAATTTTTTTATATAAACTATTTTAACACCAAATTTTGTACGTCCAATCCTCTATTAAACTCTCACTAGTGAAAAATATAAAACAAATATTTTCAATAAAATAAAATGACCAAAATACCTTTAAAAATTTTAAGGGTTATTTTGATCATTATATTTTATCACAAAATTATTTTAATATTTTTTATAGGTGCCCCCCAATGAGAATATGGCATGTACAAAATTTCATATTCATACAATTTATATAAAAAAAAAATGAAAACAAAATACCTTGAGACGTTGGATCTAAGATCAAACGGTAAGTGGCTCTCTTGATCAAAATTGGATGGCTGGATGGTAGGGGAAGCATAAATCTTCTATGATGTAGGGGAAGTATAGAAATATTTTCCTTTTCAAAATAACAGAGCCTGACATGAAGAACGTATCGTCATAGCTTTTCTCCAATTAATTGGGGTCGGCTACATGAATCCTGATCCGCCCTTTTGTTCCATTTAAATCTATAGTTAGCAAGCAATTCTTTGTTTAAAACTCCCTGGAAAAGATGCCTTTATAACACTAAAAATTCCCTTTATATAAATATGGTGTGTCTCGCTCATAGTTAGCAAGTCTTCATTTAAAACACAATTTTTTAAAATCCATTAAGAACTCCGAGTTTTTCAAAAGATCTTCAAAAAATCAATTTTTTTTAATGGAACCGATATAAATATGTATTTTATCTTTTTTCAAAAAAACTTTTCAAAATAAACTTTATCCCTAAAGTTCTATTTCTTTATACTTCATAGTATTGAGTGTGATTTAAAGATAAGCACATTAACAATGGGAATAAACTAAGAATCTTGATTTAACAAAAAATTCTATAAAAAATTTCACAAATAAGTTTTCTTTGAAAAATTATAGCAAAAACTGCTAGCAGTATATTCTCTAAAAAGTAAGATATCAAAACATTCGTATATCTCAAAATAATAGGTAGAGTTAGAAGAAGAGTAACGCAATGAAATATCTTTCTTTCTTTAAATCCAAAGTGTCCTTATAAATAGCAAGAGAGAGATTCAACAAACTAAAGATTTAAGTAGCTAGGAATTCGTTTTGAGATTTGAATTTGGTTAAACATTTTGTTGCTTTCTTTATGCTAAAAGAAGTGTGATTAATTTCATTTTTATTTTTATTTTTTATTTTTTATTTATTTTATTTTTTGGGTCGCTGTGTTTTCTTTTAGTTAATTACAATCCTATACTGAGAGTCTTTATTGTTTTTACGTAGAACAATAATTCTATGCTTTGATTTATAGTTATTGTTATTTACTAATGTAGTCCTTATGTTTAGTATTATTCTTGTTATTTCATTTTATGCTCCCAATAAATTTAGGATATGTTTTATGTAGTGACAATAGAGTAAGCATCGTTATTGGATTTATATTTTACTCGAATGCCAGTACATAAGGCTATCAATAGCTTTAATGTATCTATACAATATTGCAAATCATAATCCTATACTACGTCAATTTTATATATCCGATTTTTTTACTCTGCTTTTTTGAGCCAAATCCAAAATATTAACTTACCTTATTATTTGGAGATCTTGTAATTTTTACCCGATTTTTTCTCCGACTTTTTGAAATTAAACTGGTTTATTACAGATTTTTTAGTTTGACAATATATTATTAGTCCTCGACTTGCTAGCTATGGTCTCGCTTTATATTATGGTTGTTAGAAGGGATGTGTTGTTTTTTTAATAGTGTGCAAATGGACGAAACCTTTTTATGTTAAGTATAACAATGACTATGACGGCTATTGTTTTGAAAATAGACGATGCGTTTTCTCTTGCTGAGAAATAAAACTTTTAAAAATGGGATTGTCTACAAAGAGACCATTTATCTTTTGCACACGGGGGTCACAATCATTCTTACCCATTAGATTTTTGGTATTAATTACCTTTATTTCCATTTTTTCAAGCCTTCCACCAAAGGGAATCCACCATCTATCCTCAATAATGGATGGTGGAAATTGTACCTTAATGAATCTCCCCATAATCACCCGCTATCATTAATGAATACTATTATATATATCAAAAACAATTATGGCGTCCATGAGTTATCAAAATGCAAGATGGCCATCTTAACAACAACTTTTGGATCAATCTCGAAAGTTTCAAATCACCCACCCACTTAGTTCCCCTCTTAACAACCACTCTTGGATTTGCCTGTTGGATTGGTAGTTTTGATCTGGATTATTTGATTCCACATGATGTAGCAGAAAAAAAGGAAGTAAAAAAAAGATTTAAATTATTTTTCAGTTAAAAAGGAGATAAAACATGTAAGTTTTGTTAGGGTACTATTACACACGGAGTATTTGCTTAATACATACAATAATTTTTGACGCTTGATACCTTTATCAACAACATAATAACTTTTTCTCTAGGAGCTTGTTAGGTAATTAATCAAGAGTAAAGTAGAATTTATTGATAGAAAAAAATAACAAGTATTAACTACAATACCCATATGGATAGAACTGATCCAACTTTCTCAAAAATAATGATGCAGATCTTATAGATGGCTCAATAAAGAATTATTTTAGGACAAATTTCACATAAAATTGTATGTAATGAGGAAGATCAAACAAACAATGCAATCTCTTGAAAAAAAAAAATACATTATAAAAAAATAAGACCAAGAAGATCCAAATCCATAGAAATGTTATGTTAAATGATGAAATAGATATTATCAATCATTGCTAACTCTGTCATAAGAGAAATTGCAAACAAAATTGTGGATGAAAGCTTGGGGGTGATGCTATTTCTGACATATTTATACTTAGTCTTTTATAATGGCCCCAAACTTTTGGCATTTTTTTGAAGTATTGTTTTAATAAAAGTTCATAACATTTTTCAAAAAAACTTTTGGCATTTGGTTTCAGTCAGGATATTTTGATATAAAATAATTTTGCGGATCTTGTAGATGGATCAAAGATGAATATTTTAGAACAAATGCCATGGAAAATTTATGGAAAAAATGAGGGAAAATGAATTAAAATGGCATATTTTTTTGAGAAAATGGGCTTATAAAAGTTGAAAGAGCAAAGCTAAGGAGTTCCCTATTTTTGTATGGGAATAGCCCCACACCAAACAATGGACCAGGCAATAACTCTTGGCCTGGGCCAATTTGTTGGCCCAAACACCATAGATTGTGGGTCAAACCAGGCCTAGTTCGACCCAATGATTTTCCATATCCTGATCATAATAAATAAAATTTACTTGCATATATTTTTCCCTCAAGTACCTTCTAGTAATTAGGAATATCTCCTTCTAAAGTGCAAATAATAAAAGGGTACTATGCATATATCAAAAGGAGACAAATTTTTAAACTTTTTGGATATTTAATTTTGAGTAATGATCCTATGAGACTCTCCCACACCCATGTGAGTAGGACCCCAAATGATCGGGGGAGGGGGGCTTACTTGCCTATGAAGAGAGACTAATTTTTCACAAGTATAGATAATGATTCCCCATAGAAAATATTTATAGAGTAGAGGCTCGGACTTTGGGGTCTAGAGTTTGGGAGGGGGGGGCTTAGTTGCCTATGGAGAGAGACTAATTTTTCACAAGTATAGATAATGATTCCCCTTAGGGTCTCTCTTCATAGGCAAGTAAGCCCCCCCCCTCCCACCATTAAATTTGACACAGATCTCTAGAAAAGTTATCACATGGGTGTGGGAATTGAATTTTCTAGAGAACTGTGCCAAATTTAATGGTGATCCTTTGGGAATCTATGGGTGTGGGCGGGTCTTATAGGATCGTTGCTCTTTAACTTTATATTCTCAACTAAAGATAGATGTACTTTTTATCATAAATAAAAAATGGGATTGTATACAATGATACCATTTACCTTTGATACATGGTGGTCACAAGTTTTTATATCCATTTGATGTGAAATTTGATTGCTTGGATATGTCACAAAGTCTTTTGAAGTTTGAGCTTGGTCAATGGAATAAATGCAACCACCTAATTTCATATCCAATGGTCAAGATTTAATGTAACCACCTTGTATCATAGGTAAATGGTCTTATTTTATACTTTCCCATAAGGAATAAGAACAAATATGGTACTTT